TGTGTAAAGTGTATTTGCTATTGGAATTTTGACTATACTTTAAAACTTTCTATTTTTTTGGGAGGGGACTATTCCAAACACTTTCTGTTCAGTGATTAATTGAACAATTATTGGGGATTATACCTGCAATTTGTTTTTGTACTTAGATTATTCTTTCTAATAACTATTATTTCAAACGTTAACTTTTTCATTTGAAAAACAGCTTGTTGTTTTTAATAACAACCATTTCAAAGACTTGACTTAACAAAGTAGGAGTCAACTAAGATTTTGCAATGCAATCAGAAGCCGAAGGTTATTGGGAATATGTAGTGTATTTGCGCAATATAGTTCGGATAATCTGATCGCACATATACTTTTTAAGACATTATATATGAAAGAATGAAAGGCCAAACGGATAAGTTTAAAGGTAAGTAGAAACAAAGATAATAATGAAGTACACAAAACCAGTTTAAAAATCCTACTGAATCATATATCAGTATTACCAGGATTGGTTAATGTTAAGAACAGATTTTTTTTGAACATGCATGGCTTTAATAAACCTTGGTATATGCCTTAGAAAAATTTTGTACAAAACTACGAAGGCTGCCTTGATATCAACCTTATGACCAGTCTTAATCCTGTTTTGTAGCCATCTAAGTATGTATTCACCCACTCTTACTTGCAGCTCACAATTACTCCTCCTTATGTATGTGTTTATGCACGTAAATGTAAATTGATAGACTCAATGGGATGTGAGACAACAACTTACATGATGTTTTGGCCTTTTGACGAAACATAGACCTTGATTTTTCGATAATGTCTTTTCTGACACCCAAAAAATGAGTCCATATTACCTTACCATTGAGATGTGAGCCAAGTAGTTTTATGTGGAATCAAAGACTTAACTTAGCTATCAGTAGGACGTTTTATGTAACCAAAATCGTCATCATAGCAAAGTTAAGGTCTACTTGACCTTCTATTCCTTTATAATGCTCTAATAAGTATATGCGCGATTAGATTATTTGTAATGTATTGCACATCTGTAACACATAATTCCGATAACCTTCGTCTTCTCATCGCATTATCCAAATTTATCAGGCTATAGTAGAGCAATACAGAACAAGTAGATACCATCATCTTCTGTTTCTTCCGACTTAGCTATTTAATGGCATGTCATAGTTTGAATACAAATAATCGGACAATTTAAAGAAAATTCTTGTGAAACAGGAAACTTATTGGCAATTCAAAAACTTTATTCCTTATGTGCTTACTGCTACAATCCGAATTTAGCGCAAAAACGAAACTGTCGAATACTCAGCTGATATCAATATTATTAAGGGATCTATTTCCATTGTTGCTAGCTTGACGTGGCGGTCGGGCTTGCATATCGTGATGGACCAATCAGGCTATACTGGCTGAAACAACCGTTACTCAAGGTTCTATCATGCCAGGCAAGTCGATTGAAGAGCTGTAAGACAAAAGGGAACAAACCCAAGGTCCGAGGGCAAATCGTACTGCTGACTGTACAGAGGTGTGACAGCAGTAAGGTGTTTCTTTCAGACAACCAGCATAGCAACGGTGCTGCCTTCTCACAAGGAGGGACGAGGTTAGAAAAGGTCGACCTTAAAAATGCACACCTCGCCTTATCTCACGGATATCCGTCTCCAACAATAAGATACGGGACTAACACAAAACTTACCCACAAAAAGGTCGTGTGTGACCGCTCTCGAGCAGTTGTCCCTTGGGAACTGAAGTCACGCTCTTCAATCACTAAGACCACCTACAATCCAATTTCCTTTTCAGGCACCTCCGGAAGAACTTTTCCACGGTTTAGTCAACCGGGCAGTGGTGACTACCCTCATACCTCTAACAGCACTCAAGACCTCTGTATTCATATTTAATCTCCCTCTTCAATTCCCGTTATTACTCCTACCTCGACTGTTAACTCTAAACGTCCTCCTCAAGTGTCACCATAACCAACGGTTCTAGTGAGCAAAATATTGTCCCACGTCTACTGAAGCCTCTCTCTAAACTGCACATTGGAGCCTTCAAAGTACCCACCCCATATCAAATCGGCCAGCAGGTCCCCTCAGCTAAAACCTTAGAATCTCGCACCACTGATGTATTCTGTGTCTCCAAAACATGCACACAGGATCTTAGTGTGGTCACTCGTTTGGCCTCACCTCGCCAAAATGAAGAGCCGATGAGTTACATCCTCGTATATCTGGCGAACTGATGGAAAGTACTCATGGACTGGAAGATGTAGGCATAGCACTAAGTATAAGAGCAGAGGAGCATTACTAGAATAGATCGCCGTTAACTGTCGCCTATGTGCTGTACGACTGCATATAAACTCGGAAGGATGGGGACACACATCGTTGCCTTCTCGTCGTTTCTGCCCACACTGCCACATACTGCAGCCCGGATGAAGTGGAAGACGAACTTTACAGAAAGCTTTCTGTATTTCTCTTACTCGTAACAGGTGACTATACTGCCCAAGTAGGTGGCTTAAGCCAAACAGAAAGACGTTCAGGTGGATATTTTGGTAGTCCGGCTCAGCGAGCTGATAGTTGTGACCGTCTGCTGCAACTGTGCTCAGACAATCGTTTATTTTTAATAAGCACTAATTTTAGACATAAAGAGAGACATCGTCTAACATGGCGACCCCCTACACCAAACCAACAATGGACTCAAATATATCATATTGCCATCAGTCATCGTTGAAGAGGCTCGGTAGAAGACTGCCGCTCGTTTTGGAGTATATGTTTAGACTCTGATCATGCTCTTATACGGGCATGCATCTGCTTGCGCCTCACTGGACGCAAAAAGACCATATTAGGAAGATCCGTTAGAATTAACTCATTGGCGAGAAAGCCGAATTAGATTTCAGGAACAACTGAGGTCACATTTAGGTAGCTCTTAAACGAGGCTGATCCAGATATTGCTTGAAAAGACATCCAAACAGCTGTGGAAATAACAGTGACATCTATCAGTGATTTAAACCAAACGGCTACAAAAAACCAATAGGTTTCTTCTAAGTCTATTGCATTGATGGACTATCGTAAACTTACCCCATCAGGCTCTAAACAGGATGAAAAGCAAAAGGGAATCAGAACTAGATTAACCAAAAGTCTAAGGAACGACCGTGAGCAGTGGTGGGCAATAAAAGCAGAAGAGATGGGAAAGGCGGCGTCTGTAGGTGATACAAGACAGCTCTTCAGAATAATAAAAGAAACTAGAATTAATAAGTCAAGTGTAAGTAAGACTATCTCGGAAAAAGACGATACTCATATCTACTCTCAGATTAGACGTTTAGAACGATGGGTGAAACACTTTAGAAAACAGGTTATCTGGCCTTCAGCTACTCACCATTCCCAGACAGCCTGAATGGAACATTGAAGTTGGTCTCCCGGCTCTATCTGAATTTTGAAAGGCTATAGCTAATCCGAAACGAAGAAAAGCAGCTGGTCCAGATGAATTAACTCTAGAAGGCTTTAAGAATGGCAATCCAGTTTTAGCGATTATATTGACTGATATTTTAGTTAAAATCTGGGAATTGAATGTAATGCCGTCTTACTGGTCGCAATAACTAATCGTCCCAATCTATATGAACGGATCAGAATTATTCTGTGATAACCATAGAGGGATTAGTTCAACTCATATAGCATCGAAAACACTAGCCTCAATAGTCAGCAGACGCCTAACAAAGACTCGTGGACTCCAAACACGAGACATGGCCCAGAATGGATCACAGTGGAATAGGTGTATACACTCTTTGTCTTCCCTTAAACCGTGAGATTCAAAATACTTTATGCCCTTCTTTATACTAACTGATTATCTTTCCCGGTATCATATCCTCATATGAAATCTTCATTTTCAGTACCATCAAAGCAACTACTTCTGTGAATTTGGTGTTCATCTTGTTGTGAGATGTGGCAAATTAAACCGATGAATATATGTGCCTGGTCCTACGTTGTAGATGACTGACTGAAAGAATCTATTAACCTCTTAAGTGCACAAGAAATCTTCAGTCAGTTGCTATGTAAAGGTTTGAAGAATATAAAATAACCACTTTACTTGATAGATTTAAAAGCAGTGACTTGAAATTGCTGATAAAATTCGACAAAATAGTCAAATGGCATTTAAATAGATAAACTGGAAACCACATTTTACATGTGATCATGCACGTTTGCACAAAATTAAAAAACAAAACTTTCACTTACATAAATGAAAAAAAGATATTCGAGTTTTCGACAAACATTATTTTCCCGAAATCGTAGTATTCACTACTTCTAAAGTCTTGAAACAAAAAGAAAAATTTAAAAAATTCAGTACCTCCTTTATATCTGAAAGGCATTAGTCTGGTTATCACGAAGTGATATTCAACAAAACTATAAATAATCCGAACATGGCTAACACTAAACTTGACAGATTTTTGTAACCTATTTTAGACATTTGATAAAATGAAAATAAAATAATTGATAAGTATGATACCGTAATCGAGGTCCCCAAAAATACCATCGGCAGCTTTTGTAGATTACTGCAATCCCATATTCGCCGTCATAACTGGTTGTGTGAAGTCCATTTTTCACTTCGATAATATAAATAAGGAAACACAGAATTAAGCATATATCTACTGAATATTACAAATACTCAATAGTGTTTTGCAGACTACGAACTAAAAACTACACATGTGAAAACTATCCTAAGTACCGATGTTTATATGAATAAATTCAGTTTTCATAGTATATAAAAGTAATATAACCTAGAGGCACGATAACAACAACAGTATTTGAAAGTGTGCCAACAACTCCAGTGATCACTAACAACGATGAAAGGTCAGTACGTTATTAATTATTTTCGAACTCTCGAATTTTTTCGAAGATGGAAGTTGCAAAATATTACAAGTAATATGCATCATATTATGAGACTCAACTTTAGGTATCAATTCAAAGTGATGCAGCACAGGTGTTCTCCATTTCTCAGTCCGATGTAACTCAGAATCTAGTCGATTGTGAGCAATGGGTGCAAGAACTCTGCGATTGCCTATCATTACTGACATCAAACACAAAGGGATGCATTTTATTATTATGGATTCTCCTTCGAAAACGAATGTGCCTTACTTTGTGGAGGTATTTGTATAATCGACGTATCATTAACTTTCTTTTGATAGGAATGTTCGAAGCTAAACGTATCTGATGTCGTTCGTGTATGTGAAGACCGGTACCCTGTGGAGCCTTTTGAAAATGCTGGGATATGTGTACATGTATGTTCACAAATGTCCTTAGTCTTGTGATTATTGAAAAGTCACTGTAGAACATCAAGCGTATTCACTCTTTACAATTTTAAATGCAAGTTCAAGCCAGTATATCAATTTGAAGTCGCCTCAGTTTATTGTAACATGCGAGAAACTAACTAGTTTCTGCATGCGTCTTTGCTTCGGTTAGGGCACCCGGGCAGTATCACAGCCCTCACGCAAACCAATGATAACTGCTACTGGCCTCATGGTTATTGTGTGGAAAATGTGTGTTTGGTACCCCCTTTCGTATTGATTTTATAAGTGCGACTTAGATACTTTATTCACTAACTAGAATGAGAAATATTGAAGAAAAAGCGTTCTCCTGTTAGAATGTCATTCGTTTTCCATTTACCCGAAGCTGTATATTCAAGGTGTTCAAAGATTATCTTGCTTCAAATAAGCGGAAAGTAGTAGTTGATACATCTGCTCAGTTTCATTCATTTGTCTAAAGTTGATAAGGTTCGATCTATTGAGATATGCCAGCTGACGATTTTTACCTGACTTCGATTTAGCACCAGGTTTTGCGACCGTTGATAAAATGTCAGGTTTCATTACGTTTCTTTGTTCATCCCTCTCCCTTTAGTTTTCATGCGCGATACTATTTCATGCTCATACTGTGAATCTATCTCTTTTCGAACTCCATATTATCTGTGTTCAATTGTTTTTACTATTCGTGATGCTACCTCTACTTTGCTACCCAGTTTTAGTCATTTCAACTCGCCCTTACGATGCGTGGGGGCGTGAACCGGTCCACTTGTGTACCGGCTCGTACGATAGCTATGATTAAGGGGTCAACACTGTAGATAGTTCCTTCCAGTTAAATATTAGGTAGCTAAAGCATCTGCCTAACAATCCTACGTATTAAGTGATGTATCTTATATGCCGAAATCATAATAGAGTAGGAGAGGGGTATGCATCGGTCCGTGAGTTATCTGGAGACATTCAGTTTTTAAGGTATTGGATGATGTGTCTGTAAAAAAACCTAGTCCCGTTAATGCACCCATGTTATGCAAAATTATAGCAGTATCTAAACCTTTTAAATCGAGTTCTTCTTTATATATCCCAGCTTCAGATTTTTCACTTGGTTTCTTTGTAAACCATTGTAGCTGTAACTGGAATATGATATATAATACGTTACTATATAGAGGTAAATAATCTGTCAGAGTTATCAACCAATGTATTCAAACATGCACACTCGCATGACGATTAATGTAAAAGTATATTCATTTTTCTTCACTTATTTAATTTTACAATCACTCAGTTTTAAGGCTTGGACCATTTTACTTTGTGTTCATCTCAAAAATCTAAGTTTCTGTTGTAGAGAGTAACTATTTGTTTCCCCATATACGAAAGTTTTACTTATTATATTCTTAATCACAGCTTTATGTTGTCCTCTCTCTGATTCTACCGAAAAAAATATTAGCATTGGGAATTCAGTGATGGTTCGCCTCCACCAGAGAATATTCTCACAGAATGGTTCACTCTCCTCAGAAATCGATTTTATGGGGAAAATAATAGCACTCATGATGATCAAAACCACCTGGTACCTGGGCCAATCGCTGTTCATTGTATAGCTGGATATGGAAGGTGAGGTTCGCCATCTATTTCTTCAAGCCACTGATATACATTTAGTTTTTATACATGTATTTTTGTGTTTGCGGCTTTTCCCAAAAGTACAAGCGTCAAATAACTTACATTTTCCCTGATATTTATGTTCCTGCACATGGTGACAAGTCTTTTTATCAATCATTAGCAAAACCGCTTCTAACCCCAACTTACTTGAATTGTTATTTATTCAACCGTTGATATGATTTGTCATAAAAGCGACTTATCTGACAACTCTTCGAACTAAAATACGAAAGCTTCCCTTCTCCCAAAACGCGTACTACTCCAAAACACATCTAGTATAGACCTCTCAAAAAATCCAAAATATATTAAGTTCACTCAATTACATACTGATTCAATTCAGTGATTGGTATTTACGAAAGTTATTAAACTGAACAACTGTCACTTGGACACGAAATCAGAAAAAGTTAATTAATTATGATAAAACGCAGTGAAAATTAACTAGGTTAAGATCACATTCAAAACCAGTGAAAATCTCGCTCAATTTCTGTATACTAGATTAAATTTGGGGAGTTTTGTTCGTCTGCATATCAAATACTTATAATTCATTTGATTGACTTTTTTCCCAAGGCTTATTATCTTGCTCTAATCTCAGTCAATAACTTATTTATTGCTTTTGGCTTTATTGGGTTCTTTAGGCATCTTATTAGTTTTCTTCCAACTTGTTATAGTGGACAAATATTGTTGCAGCAACCACGTGAATATTTATGTAATAGGATGTCAGCCGCTCATTTTATGCAAACTGTTGGTAATACTAGTTCCACAAACAATATATAAAGCTGATTTTTAAACCCTTGACTTACTTATCGAAGGTCCTACGTCTAAACCGTTAAGTCAAACCTGAATCTAGACATACGGATGTAGTTAAGTAAAGTTCTGTCCCTTATTGTTCATGGAATTGGCTTTTAACTAGTACGTAACAGGCTTGAACCGCACCCCAATTACTTTGGCTTGGGCACCCGAATAGGCCTTGATAGCTGATAAACCTATCTCTATAAACCTATGGGTCCTTGATCTGCTCATATTAGGGGACCTGAATGAACTAACCGTAGCTGATGAATAGGTGGTATAAGTTTTTATCAGTCAGTCAGTAACAACGTAGAACTTCGTACTTACGTACATCGGTTCGAGTTGCCACACCACATTAGCACACAGATGCAGTGGTCGATTCAAATCCCGTAGTGGTCGAGGTAATAAGAGTATAAGCAGTAATCGGGAAGATTAGTGTTTGGAGATGTTGCTTAAAGAGTATAATACAGTGAAACAAATTTGAGAGGAGAGAAAAAAAGAGACAAGGAGGAATAAGGAGATCAAAATTTGGGAGAACACAAAGAGTGGATGCACCTGCGCCATTGCAAACGATTTCCAGCCATGTCATTCAGGGTCTCTAACCATCGGTTGCTATCATCTCGCGGTCCCCAACCAGGTAGTCTACACCTACCGACATGACTCAGACCACTTGTCAGTGATTTCATGGATTTGTGCCATGTTTTGGTCTGGCCGCCCATAGCTTTCTTCCAACCTACTCCTATACCAGAAACCATCGCACGTCGAGGCATTCGATGGTTGGGCATACGTAACACGTGTCCCAGCCATCTCAACTGATGAAATTTCACTACGTCATCAATTGATTTGCTATCCTTACCTAGTACCCGTTTCCTAACAACTGCATTACTTACTCGATGGTCCCAGGATATACGAGCAATATTTCGAAGACACCTATGATCAAATACTAGTAACCTACGAATATCCTCTACTCTTACCGGCCATGTTTCACTGCCATAAAGTAGGACGGAACGAACTGCTGCGCAGTAAACCCGTCCTTTGGTTGATAGACAGATATCTCGCCTACGCCCTAAATGACGCAAGTTGGTAAATGCTAGTCAAGCCTTCTGTATCCGTGCTGAGATTTCATCACACATCAGACCACAAGAGCTGATGAGACTCCCAAGATAAGTGAAGCGGTCGACACGCTCAACTACTTCACTCCCTATCATTAGTTCAGGTGTCCATGCAACCCAATCCTGAAGCGACATTTTGCATTTCGAAGGGGAGAATCGCATCCCGAACATGATTGCATTGTTGCTTAGAGTGGTCAGAAGACTGCATTTCCAGTGACAAACACTGCCATAGAACCTTACGACCAATAGGGTCAAATGCCACCTTAAGGTCGAGAAATACTACCATTGTGTGGCGTCTGAACGTGTGTCTGTGTTCTAGAACCTGACGTAGTGTGAATATGTGGTCTATACAACCACATCCAGTCGAAAACCAGCCCAATTTTCTCTAGTCTGCTCTTCACGAGCTTTGGTGAGGCGTCGAAGTATTATTGAAGCTAATATTTTAGACACTATATTAGTCAAACTGATTCCTCTGTGATTGTCACAAGAGGACTTTTGTCCTTTCTTATAAACTGGCACAATCAGTGATTGAGACCAGTCAGATGGGATTACGTCCAGTTCCCAAATTCTACCTAAGACCTCAGTTAATCTCACTGCTAATACTGGACCACCATCCTTAAAAATCTCAGGAGTAAACCTGTCAGGGCCTGCTGCTCTCCCTCGCTTCAGATTTCCTATGGCTTTTTCAACTTCGTAAAGAGACGAGGACCTACATTAACTTGCCATTCAGGTTGACTGGAGATCGTGGGAAACCGAAGTGTGGTTGAAGGCCAGTTAAACTGATCCCTGAAGTGTTCTGCCCATCGATCCAATCCCCTGGATTGAGAATGTATAATATGTCCATCTTTCTCTGAGCTTGTTTCGCTAACAGTCGGTTTCCTAATACCGGTTTCCTTAACGAATCTGAACAATTGTCTGCTATTACCTATTGCCGCTGCCTTTTCCATCTCTCTTGCTTTCGCTACCAACCACTGATCACAGTTATCACTCATACCAATAATCTATGACTTCATGAACTGACGCTACATTTTCGTATGGCTACTCCCAGCTTTCTTCCAACTTATTTCTATATTAGCAAGCATTGGTCATCAAGGCAGAAGCTGGTTAGACGTGCGTAACACAGATTTCAAATTGCCAACTTCTAAAGGAAGCCAAACACCTCATACTCTGAAATTTCGCATTCAGTGACAAGTGCTCAGTTGATGAAATTCTGTAGTTAATAATCGATACATAATTTAAATAAGTGATGTGGTTCTTCTAGCGCCTCTATGAAGAAAGCTTATATACAACATAGACTTTTCACTCTAATTGGCGACAATGTAGAAAAGCTAGTAGTAGTCTCGTTCATCGTGTTGAATTCGTAGTTGCGAAATAATAGATTAGTGCACAAAATTATCATAGTCCTGTCATAATTTTCTACTACATTCCCCACAAAGGGAGATTAACTCTATCAACTGAAATGTGTCTTTCTTGGCTGTATCTTATTTGATACTAGCCTTGTCCATTTATTGACAAATTGTAGGATTTCCTTTTATTTCACAATATTATTACTTCTTTTATAAGGCGAATTTTCGCCGTTCTATTTTACCAGAATTTGTTCTTTAAATAATAAACAATTAATAGCACAGGAGCTTATGGCTAAATGTCATCTGGATTGGAAAAAGCAAGTGATGTTCATCAGAGCTCCTCACTTTCCCCATTTTTATATCTTTTTCTGTAGATATTTTCTTGAAGCTAATGTCCTCCTTTAACTTTGCAGGGGTTAGTTTCCTATCAGGAGAGTAGGGAGATAATTATTTATTTATTTATTTGAACACATAAATGTTGGTACAATAGTGCGCCACACAAAACAATGAGAATTTAAAGAGAAGGAAGAAGAAAAAAGGTAGGGAGCGTAAAAAAAGAGAACAATAACGAAGAGATTGGTGTAAGGTAGTGTAGTAATAATAATAATGGTAATAATGGGGGAACGGAAAGGTACAATCAGAAGAAATCTTTCAGTTAAGGAAGATACAACCACTTTTTACGGAGAAAGTAAAAGAAGGTTACAGCAGGATCGCCACTGACTTCTGTTCTCAGCCATATCTGATAACGTCTCAAGCCGCTGTGTCGCACCATCTCTCGGACCCCAACCAGGGAGTCGTGAAGGACCAACGGAAGCCAGTCCTTTGCAGCTTTCTTTCATGCCACGACACCATGTCATATACTGATCACCTCTCCGCTTTTTCCAACCAGTCCCAGAGTCGGCAAATAATGCACGACGAGGAATCCTCTGGGACGATGTTCGTAGAACATGTCCAAGCCACCGAAGTCGGTGTTTCGAGATGGTGACACCAATTGCATTATCATCTCTGTGCCCGAACACACGATGCCGAACCTCTGCATTACTGACATGGTGTTGCCACTGAATGTCAGCAATCCTTCGGAGACAGCGATGATCGAACACAGAGAGTCGTCTAACGTCCTCAACTCGGAGAGGCCAGGTTTCACAAGCATAGAGCAAAACTGCTCTCACCGACGCGTTGTAGATCCGACCTTTTACAGCCAGACTAACATCACGAAGGCGCCAAAGATGGCCCAGATTGGCATAAGCCGCTCTGGCTTTCACTATACGTGCATTGATCTCATCACTCACACACCCACCAGCACTTATGCAGCTACCCAGATACACGAACTTCTCGACTACGTCTATCTGCTCACCATCCAGGGTGAGTACAGGATTGGAATCCTGCCAGTCTTGTAGGAGTACTTTGCACTTCGAAGGTGCAAAGCACATACCATACCTACGGACACTGATTGCCAACTGATTAAGTGCGAATTGCATGGCTTGGGCATTATCGCACAGTAAGACAATATCGTCCGCATACTCAATGTCGAGAAGTCTTTCTCCAGGCAACAGATCCACACCACCATTACTTACATTCATCAGAGCTGTTTCCAGAATGTCTTCGATGGCAAAGTTTGTGAGGAATGGTGAGATTGGGCAACCCTGCCTAACCCCACTGCTCGAATGGAACAGTGGAGAGAGGTGGATGTATGCCCTCACTCTGCCTGAGGTGT